CCCAGGGACGGGGGCGGTGGGGCTGCTGCCCCTGCGTGTTCCTGCCCGTTGCCCGGAGCAGGGCCTGTCTCAGCCACGGGCATCCACACGGGCTGGAGCACCCAACGCCCCCTGGCTGTGGGCACCGGAAGTGCCCCAGGGGCGCCGTGCGGCACCCCTCTGGGCCTGCCCTTGCTCCAGTCCACCACCACAGGATGTGCTGCTCAGAACTGGCCGTGCTGGGCAAGTTGCCCTGGAACAGCAGCGGCTGAGGCTGCTCGCTCGCTCCCTCTCCCTCGCTTTCCCTGCCCCTCTCTTCTCCCACCCGGCTGGTCTGCCCAAGGTGCCAGGAGCCTGTGCCCCATCTGGAAGAGAGGAGGGGGGAGAAAGGCAGGTGGCAGAAAGCTCAGCTGAAAGAGGTGAGACGGGGCAGCACGGTCCTCGCGAAGTCCAGCAGTCTAGACGGCTGTGCAGGTCTTGTCTTCTGCTCTGACGTGCTTGGGGACAGACCGTGGCTGCTGGGAAGACCCGTGGCTCCCTGGCGCAGCACGTGCCCCGCATGTGGCAGGTTCCACATCCACTCCCCGTCACTATCCCTGCCTGAAACGCTGGAGAGCCCCCACTGCCGGTCTGTGCAAAGGCAGCCCGGACGTTCCTGAAGTAGCTCTCACACAGAAGGTTTCTCATCAGTGTGGCCCCCGCTTGACATCTGTGATCACCACTTCCTACCTGGCAAGATACCGTTCCGAGCAGATGAGTCAGTTTACACACAGTACCAGAGAAAGAAAGCGGGCTTCTCTGATGTGGAGCGGAAAACTTCCCAACTCAAAATTTTCAAGAAAACCCCCACCAGTGGCCCCCTGATACGGAGTCAGACCATGAGGGGACGCACATCTCCGCTGGACCAGATTGAAGGAGGAAAGAATCAGGAAGAGGGTCACCGGGGATGACCGAGCAGGCATGTTTCAGCCACCTCTGATGGCAAGCAGGGAACCTCCAGAAGAACGTAAAGAGATAAACCAGACCAAAGCAGAGCCAAGATGCACGTGGGCAGGTAAATAAGACGGGGCCGGCTGGATCAGACCAAAGGCCCACTCAGTCTGCGTCCTCCTTCCCACAGTGCCTGTGCCTCTGGGAAATTAATAGAGACTAGTAGAAGCATTTACGGAGAAGCATTTTTATCGCTGTGTTGCATATACAAGCAGCGCAGAAACGTACATAAATACACCCATACATCACCCTACCAAAGACTCTGCCTGGGGTGGTAACTACCAGTGGCGGGTTGCTGCTTACCGCATGCAGGGGGGAGCCTTCTGGCAGCAATTCTCACGCTCTCAAGCACCCCAGCACAGCTCTTAACCCAGCCGCACCGGAGGAGAAACCTAAGTGACAAGCATGAGGACAAGGGCCTTCCCTTCGGGAAGCTGCTGAAATCAATATCGAGCTCCTCGGCACGGCGCAGCCCTCGCCCTGCTCCTGCTCCTCGGCCAGCTGAGCCAGCGATCAGGGGAATCGTCTCTGCCGGGTCCTCCAGGACCGAGCCGGCTCGTTTCAGCCACCTCTGATCGCAAGCGGGTGGGCAAGAGGAGGGAGCGTGGAGACAGAGAGATGGCAATAATTTATGCTCTCCTGCCTATACTTTATGGCTTTCTTAATTCGGCTCCTGCTACTATTAATGTAGTTAATGTTGAGATTATATCTATTTTCTGGCGTCAGACGGTGATTTATTCAAGCCATTTTTCCGGTGCCGGCTCCCACGCTGTTAAATCAAGTGACTTGCCAATTAAGTGCTGACTGGGGGAAGTGGATGCAAACTTAACAGATATCTAACCGCAAATTAAACTGGGGGGGGGGGGTGCACTCCATAGTATTGTGTGGCCAAGCCAACAAACCTTGCTGACTTGGGAGATAGGAAAACACGCATCCCACGAAACAAAAAGAGAGGGCTTTGGAAGGGACGGGCCCCGCGTGGGCATGGAAGTCCTAGCAGCCAGGGTTCCGGCGCCCCCTCTGCCCCCAGGCAAGGCCTCCTTCCCTCAGTGAGGGCAAGGCAGCTGCCCACCGGCCGTCACTCGAGGGAGGGGAGGCAGAGCGATTCCCCTGCTGCCCCAGCTGGGTGCGACGGCGATGCCATCTCTCGGCCAGCCGATGGTGCTGCGCTGGACGTCACAGCTCGCTCGCCTCCATCCCAAGTGCCTGTCATCAAATCCGGCCAACTTGTCTCGTTGGCAGCAGGTGACGCCGCACAGCCCGTTCTGAAAGCTTTGCTCATGCCGTCGTCACCACAGCCCCGGGGCCCCCTGGGCAGGCTGTGCCTGACGGATGACAGATGGGCAGGTTGCAAGCCAGGGCAGGGCCGCCGTGTTTGAGGGAGGAGAAGGCTGCGCTCTGGCCTTAACTGGAGGAAGCCTCTGGGCTTTTTCGGGGGGGGGGGGGGGGCAATCCTCCTTCCCCACAGGAGAGCTTTTGTCCACGCAAAGTCTTGTGTCAATACTGAGGGCATCTCCAAGCCTTGCATGTGAAAAAACCATTACTGAATTCCCCAGGCTATGGAATACAGGCTGGGCTTATTTTTAAACCAAAATGCAAAATATCCTTTGAATGTCCCGATGCCCTGAGCTGCTCTATATAGGAAATGAAGGCAGCCCGGAAATCCGCGTCTCTGCTGGGCAGATTAGCTTATTAGTGTGTGGGGCCCGGCCCCCTACCTGATGCTGGGGGGAGTGGAATCGCCAACGTGGCCCTTGCGGGGAGATGCTGGAGGGGGGGGGGGGGGGTTGGGCGGCATAAAGGTCAGGTAAATAAATGAATAAATAAGTCAAAGAGACTTGTTCTAAAATCAGGACCAAAAGGAATGGTGCAAGAAGAAAGAGAAAATGTCTACGTGCCAAGTTAATCCTTCGACGCCATCTGCATCCTTGCGCTGATTTCACATGTTGTGCTCACTGGCTATTTTTATGTTAGCATATTTTATATTAGTATATATATTGTTGTAAGCCGCCCCGAGGCTTCGGCGAATGGGGCGGCATAAAATGTTTTAATAAATAAATAAATAAATAAATAAATAAATAAATAAATAAATAATATTTAGCTCTGTTACTGCACACTGTCTATCCCAATGGAAGCGAAGCGAAGCAAAGCTGGTCTTCCAAAGGTGGTGTCATTCCAGGGTGGAGGGAAGAGACAAAACGCGCCCACACCTCTAAAGCTCGGAAGACGGCCACTTCAGAGTAAATGAGCTCCTTCTCCAGGAATGGCATGTCCAAACTTCTGTGACTGGAACTCTCTCCTGGGACCAGCTCGAGATTCAGAGAAGCCCCGGCTGGCTTACAAGATGATGTACCCACGAGAAACACTTTGAACTCGTGGCTGTGGCTGCTGGAGAACGAAAGCAGCGTGCATCCTTGAAGGAACACCAAGAGCAGCGGGGAGGCAGGCAGAAGGGGAACGTGGCAAGACCCAGTAGGGCCAGAGGTGAAGGCAGAGTCGGAAACAGGCAAGGATCAGGCACCGACCTGGTGTGGCAGGTCCAGACGCAAGTCAAGACACAAGGGAAGGCACTGCAGGACTGGAAGCCGAGTCAGGAGTGCAAAGTGGACCCCAAAAGATGTGCATTGCCATGGCAACGCTGGTCAGGACTGAGGAGTGTTTCAGCGGATTCTCGTTTGGTCTGCCTGCACGATGGCACTGGTGCCACTCCTGCAAGCACCTACGGAACCGATGCGAATCCCGGAAGGGCTCCACTGTAGAATATGGCTGCACGCAACGCTTTGTGCACAAAGGAGGAAACTGCAGGGGGTATCAGGCCTGCCCTCCTGGTGGCAGGAGAGGAGATGGGTGATACTCCTTGGCCACCAATCCTTGAAAAACCCAATCAAGCTCCCTCCCTGCTCAGAGCTCCTTTCCCCCCACCTTCAGCCTCACAAGATCCTGACCTGGTGGGCAGGAACGACAGTCGGATGCCTGTGGGTTGCAGCTGAGGCCAGCCCATCTTCCCATCCAGCATGCAACCCCACAGATGTACCCACCAAGACCCGCAGTGCAGCGAGGCCCAAAGTGAAGCTTCGGGATGGTGTGACGTGGTGTCCTGCGACACCCAAAGGCCTTCCTGGCCCCTTCCGACTCTGCTCTTCTATGATTCTAAGCTTTCTTGGCCATAGTGGGTCCGTCTCCACCAATGTTCTCACCAAGGATCTCTGCTGCCTTCCCCTCTTCCAGGCACCTACCATGGCCTTCAGCACCACTCTTCAAGCAGTCAAGTGAGAGAGGCAGACACTTAAGACCGAAATAAACAAACAAATCAGCCATAAAAGGGAGGGAGAGGGAAGAGAAAAATGGAGCAGTGCCTGTGTATACCAGTGCCTAAAAGAGGTCTCAAGAATATGGGGATACCTCTAAAAGGATCGGATGCCACAAGAGGCCAACGATGCATGCACATTTATGCCCTCCGTGAGATCCACGAACCACCTTTGCTCAGACCTCAGGACTGATCCTGCCAGGTTTCCGGCTGGAGTGCTGGACACGCAATAAAACGCACTCAGCAGGCATCACCGGGCACCACTCACTCGGCTGCCATGGTATCACCAAAGCCCCACCACTTCCCCTTCAACAGAACGTGACCATCCCTTGCTCACATAGAGACAACTAACATCAAAGCTAACGTTCATCTAGTACAGCTACTAACACAAAGCTTCGTAGGAAAGAGTGTGAGGTGCCCAACGTTTCCGAGTTCCGTAAGACTCTCAAGATGACTATTTTGCTGACCCCAGAGCAGGCACCCTGTGGCCACGGACTGGCAGGCCACCTCCATGCACCGCATTTCAACAAACTGATAAGCACGGCCACGAAAAGAGTAAACCCCAGTTTGGGCAAGATTAGGACCAGGCCTTTGATATATGCCAATAGATTAATATCCTATTGATCACCTTTAAAAGTTTACTACTGCCCTTAAAGCAAGAGCCAAAGCCCTATTTAAAACAGTGCCCAACCATGTACGCCAAACTGAAAAAAATTAACTGTACCGCAAGCCCAGCCTCTGGGAAATTTGCCATCAGTCAGGTAAGGCCAGAGAGTCACCTGGGAAGCCAGAAGTCAAGCCCCGGGGCACCAGGGGCTCCCTGCACGGGGCTGCAAGCACAGTTCAGTCTTGACTTTCGAGGAAGAAGAGGGACATTGACTGGGAAGGGTCAACATCTTGGCGGCCGCTGCAGCGAGGCTCAACGTAAGGCACCACAGACCTCGTGGCACTCTGGAGTCATCTGCACATGGCCTGCAGGGAGTGCTGAGCTCGAAGGCGGCTACTCAAGTAGCACCGGGCAGTGCTGACTGCCTGTCTCCAGTCCTGCCCTGAAATGAGTCTCCCGGGAAGCACCTCCAGCGAGTGGGTCCTTGGACTGGCACAGCTCCTTGTTCCAGTGGGGCAGCCCAGAGGGTGACGGGAGCGGAGAAGCAGTGCTGCTGCACACCTGGGCTGGTGTGGTCACTTGGCCGCTACCTGGCGGATGGTGGGGAGTCCACACGGCCCAGGAGAATCGGAACGCCCACCTGGAAAATGCACGTGATTAAGCCCAGGGGAGAAGGACACCCCAGCCAAACAGGGAGCGAGCAGACACCAGGAGCCAAGGCGACCTGAAGAGAGAGCTCAAGGCTTCCCAGGAACTGACCCCCCCCCAGCGATCGCCAAGACTTCTACGGTCCACAGGCACACTCTGTGCTAAGAGGCCAACAGGCCCTTCAAGGCAAAGCCAGGAGTCTCGGGCCCAGGATCACAGGCACGGGTCCCCTGTCACGTCAGAGCAGCCTTCCCCAAGCTGACATCCTCCGAGAGAACTACAATGTCCAGCATGTGCAGCTAGCCAGCCAGCAGCAGTCCCACACATCCGGTGGGCCCTGGCGTGAGGAAGGCTGCCGCAGGGCCTGCACGGCCACAGGGGGCTCCCGGCACAGCCAGAGCAAGTGGTCTGCCTGGGACCCCTCCACATTCCTACAGCGCTCCATCAAGACCATGCCCGGAGACTCCCCTGCCCCGGAGGGCTCTGCCCACAAGACACCGGGGGCCCTAGCCTGCCCCAACCGCTTCCACATATGCGTTTATTTGCAATACTTCTGTGGTGAACAGTATGAAGTTGAATCAAATAAAAGAATAAAACCAAGGCAGCTGCGCCAGCTCGTGAACTTGTAGAAGTGCCTTTCACATCAGCACTCCGGCAATGCTTCCGGTTAGGTTTCAGGCAGACGCACACACCATCTGCCACAGCAGCGGCCGCCTTTCGTGGGCCAACCCATGCACAAGTCAGCTGGTCGGGAAATTTGACAAACCCTTTCCGCCAATACTTGAAGGTATCCAGACCAATTTGGATTGGCTCCAGATCTGCCAGCACCAAAAGGGACATTTTAAAAGGTTTCTTCAAATTGAAAGTTGCCACATGTGGGAACCAGTCCGGTGAAAGCAGGCCGCTTCAAAGCGAAGCCTTCTAGGCAAGCGACTGCAAAAAGCTCTCCCTAAGACTTGCCACTTCTGGACCACCACTGTGCCCTTTTCCACCAGAGGCGACATTCAAATAGAGAGCGGCCAGGAGTGGAAAAGGTGAAGGAGACTAGAGATGTTTGGTTCAGCAGCGGATAAATAATCTGAAGACTCAACACCACGCCAGGTGGACGCCAGTCGACTTGCAGAGCACCCAAGATATACTTGCAGGAGGCGGCTGAATTTGTTATTTACTACGTAGCCTCTGGAGAGGCCGCAGCAACATTTGATAACGCTCCACAAATTAAAACCATCCAAGAGCCTTGCCTGAAGAAGCACGCCCTGAAACAGTAAACAAGCCAGGTATACGGCCCTTCTAACATCTGGAGCGGCCATTCCAACATGCCGGGCGTCCCAGTGCTTAGTGCTGCAAAAATGGAGACTGGTCCATGGGGCAGGCACCAGAGCTGCGCTTCCAGAGGGGCAGCAGTGTTGAAGCACCCGGGCTTCTGTCGCCCGCTTTTTGGCCGTCTCTGTGCTGCCTCTGGAATCGGCGGCCACCTGCTTTGCAAACTGGGGTGGGAGGACCTGCCCTGGGAAGCCTGGAGCCGCTCCTCAACGCCCTGCGTGGTCTGGGACGCTGCGGAGCAGCCGCGGAAGGGCAAAATGTTCTGCAGCTCAGCCAACCTGAGGGAGAGAGCGCCACAAGGGCGGGAGAGCACGCCAAAGCCCCCGGGGAAGCCCGAGGCAGAGAGGTGCTGCTCGGAGGCACAATCCGCTCATTCGCCTCCCGGGGATGCAGGGCCACACACCCCATGGGGGAGGTGGAGGACGCTTCTCATCCGAGGTCCGCTCACGACGAGCCCCCGCCCAATCCCATGGGACCGACCCCTCGGCCAGAGCAGGCCCCACAGCGGCCTCCTCCGTCCCCCGTATGGCACCGCCACCCCCACACGCATGCGCGCAGCCCCGATGTGCTTAGCAGCTTCGGCGCAACACCTCAGGAGTTGATGGAATCGGTTTCACGTAGCGATTTGTCGCCACAAAAACGGGATCGTCGGCATGCGGCATGCTGCTCGTGGTAACAATGCTGCTAAAGATGTCATGATAGCGTTGCTAATTACGCCAGTCAGGTTCTCCCGCGCGCCCCGCCTCCCCCGCCGCCGTCTCTGGCACCTGCGAAAGGGGGCTTCAGCTCCGGCCCGGATGAGGCGGGGGGCCCGGCTGCTATGGCTTTCAACTCGGCTGTGGCAGGCCATCTCGACGGATCCCAGGTACCTATCATGCCTCTCTGCCAGGGAACGGGAGTCTGAGAGAGAAGCCTACATATCTCCAAATATATAAAAAATAAAACCTTTGAAAGCGGTGCCAAATTAAGAGCCGCAGCTGAGCTGTCAAGCTCCCGCTAGCTGTGTCTTCGCAGCACCTTGCGTGCAAAAACCGTGGCTGGGCCCATTTATTAGGGATGATGAAAGCAGAGGGATCTAAAAATTGCACTCCTTTCTTAATGAGCAGCCGAAGGGATCGGTAAGCATAATTTCAGAGGCTAGTAATATTTTATATAATCGCCGAGTGGTTTAAATTGAAAACCCCCAACTGAATCAATATTTACTGCATTGAAACGAAATGAATAGTAATAAGTCACTAAGTTCCCTGTCCTGTTTCATAAAATAAAAAATTATAAAAATGAGCACAGGCGCAAGGAGACTATCACATTAACTTTTACAGCACTTGGGGAGTCGTAACCGACTCTTCTCATAAAATAAAATTTCAAAAAACCTGCCCAAGCAAGCTGAGCTTCAGCAACACCAGAGCATGTGCGTGCCCTTTCGGGGGGTGGGGGCAGGGAGAGCGGGGGCAGTGGAGGGGGCTTGTTAAACACCAAGGTTAAAGCAAGACCTGGACGTTCCTTGCAGCATGGACCCCCGCCCCGGATAACCAGAGCCAAGCTCACGGCAGGGCTCTCCCCACGTGGTCCCGCTCCGTCCTCCTGGATCATTCTGGGGTGCTCCTGCTCCTGCTCCAGGGGACTCTTTTCCTGCTTGCATGAACAGCTGGGAATGGTCTTTAGTGGCTCGTAGGCATGTGAGGGGATGCCACGTGGAGGAGGGCCGGGACCTTCTCTTCCCTGCAGTGGAGGGCAGGATGCGTTCCAAGGGGCAAAGCTCAAGGTACCAGGCTTCAGGGTGGATGTCAGGGGCTGCTTCCTAGGATATGGGATGGGCTTCCGAGGGAGTGGGTGGAGGCCCCATCAGTGAGGGTGCTCAAGCAAAGATGGGACAACGCATGAGAGCGGAACCGGCTGGAGCCACGGGTCAGACTAGATGGCCCAGGAGGCCCCTTCTGACTCACTTTGCTTCTACGTCTTCCCTGGCAAGCTCCTCCGTGTTGCCTGCTGCCTCGCGCCTGTTCTCTGCTTGCTCGCAGTGGGTTGCTGTGGACTGTGGAAGGTGGAGAGCCCCACCTGCTGTGGGAGGAGTGCCATGCCGGGACTCTCGGTCCCGTCTAACATCCTACCCACCCTGGCCCCGACCAGGAGGCGAAGAGGGAGCTGTGGGTCAGCCAAGGACAGGAGAATCGTGGTGCCTGTCAAGGATCAGGGCAGCTGGAAACACCGGGCCTCAAGGAGAAGCTGAGGGCGACGCGCCGACGCAGCCTGCTCGCAGGCACAGTGCGACAGCTGAGCTGCGAAGTGAAGCCCGGACCAAGCCCAACGGAGCAGGTCGAGGCAGACCGTCTCCCGGGAGCGAGAGGTCCGCTGGGATGGGGCCGGCAGCCTGGGAGGGCGGGAGGAGAATCAAGCAGCGCAGCTGCACTGGGCCGAGGATCGCTCTCTTTCTGGCAACTGACAGACCTCACCTGGGCGCTTCAGGGGCAAGGTCTTGGAGGTGCCGCCCAGACTCAAGGCAGCCAACCTCCCTACTCCTGAGGAGTCAGGTTTTCTGGGCTTTGACGGGCACGCTCCGCTGACAGGGTGTGTGGACGGCTGTGCTTCCTGAGGCCAGGAGACAGCTGGACCGCCCTCATGCCCACTCCAAATTCTGCAGACAGGGCAGCGCTGCAGACAAGTCAGCCCCCGCCCCCCAGCCCTCCATGGCCATCAAGCCTGGTGCAACCTCCTCTGGGAGGGAGGGGTGCCGGGGGGGGGGGGTGTTCTTCAGGCATCAAGCAGCAGAATAGCATGCATCAGCACTGGTAGCTAAGCGAGGTGCAGCTCTTGACCAAGGTCTTATCACAGAAGCAGGGGGACAATTTGTGAAGGGAATTAAACCACCGAAACGGGGAAGCACCGTTGCTCCGTGAGAAGGCCTACGCTTTGCCTGGGCCAAGACCCAGTTCCAGTCTCTGGGTGAGCCTAGGGCAGCGAGGCTTGGAACGCATTTTCCCCCAAATCCTTGGCGAACCGCTGCCAGCTGGAATATACTGGCTTTCTCCAACCCAGTGCCTTCCAGATTTGTTTGACTTCAGTTCTCATCACATCTAGCCAACCATTAGCCATGCTAGCTAGCGATGATGGGGCTTGCAGTCCAACAAATCTAGAAGGTGCTGGGTTGGAGAAGGCAAGAGCAAACCAAGC